AGGGCCACTCTGGACTCCTGGGTCCCGGGGGAGCTGGGGCGGGACGCGGGGCGGCCGCCTCCCGGGAGGCCCACCCAGAGGGCGGCCCCAGAGCTGGCCGCGGGGAGAGTCCGGATGGCTGGCTGCGGGGGGCGGGCCTGCCCCCCCCCCAGCCCCCGCCAACGCCGGCAGCAGCAGCCCCGCCTTGCTGAGCCGGCCGTTCACTTCCTTTTCATTTCTTCCCCCCTTTTCCTTCCCTCCCTTTAATCTCCTGAGAACTCCCCGCTGAAACCCTCCAGCACTTTGCTTCGCCCCCCGGCCAGCCTCACCCAAGGAGCAAGCAGCTGGCACAGGGGCGGGGGGCCGCTTCTGGGGAGGGGCCTGAACCGGCCTGGGAAGGCCTCCCACCCCAGGACCTGCCCCTCAGGAGCGGCCTGCCCCGGCGCAAGCCCATTCCCTGGGATCCGCCCACAGGAAAGGAGCCCCCCGCACCCCGCAGGGCCCCCTGGCTGCCCGCTGGGGTCCGCGCCCAGCCCCTGCCCCTGGCTGGGGGCAGCACCTCTCGTCCGGCTCCAGCCACCAGCCCGAGGCCCGTCACCGCGGCCCTGCCCAGGGGTGCGGGGGGACCTTCCTCCTGTGGCGGCCCTGCTCAGCCCTGCACGTCCCGCCTGGCGAGGCTCGGCCCCGATGCCTGCCCAGCCCCCGTCCGCAGACTTTCACTGCAAACAGGCCGCCGGGCTGGGAGCCCCTCCACCACCAGGCAGCTGGCAGGTCTAACCACCCTCCGCGCCTTTCTCCCTCCTCTCTCTCGTGTTCTTCCCTCTACCTGAAAGGCCAGCCCCTAAGTCAAAGAGGAAGAACGTCCCTACAACCTCCAAAGCCTGTTTCAAACGGCCCCCTGTTTTGATAGGACGTGGCGCATTAGAAGGCCGCGTTCCCCTCCTCGCGGCCTGAAATCCAACCGGAACAAGCCTGTGTGGGAACCAGCAGGGCCATCTCGTGCAGGGCCTTCACGCGGGAGCTGTGCGCAGACAGCATGGCCCCAGGCGTGTGCACGCCCGCCACGTGCCGCGACCCGCCCCCCCCCCCAGGGGTTGGCACAGCCCCCCCACCGTCACACGCTAACGTCCTCCTGCAAGACCAGGTCCCACGCCCCCCCCCCAGGCCGTCCCGTTCTAGCTCGCAGGCCAGCACTGCCTCCAGCACCTCCGAAGGAAGACCGGCGCATCCGCACGTGGCAGGCTTCCACGGGGGCCACTCGCCAGCCCCACGCAGCCCGTGTCCCGCGCGCCAGCCGAGGGGCGGCCGGAGGGCACACGCCCCTCCCCAGCAGACGGAGGGGCTGGGACCCTGGGCCACCTCTCGGCTGCAGGCCGGAAAGGCCCCCGGGACCCTCCCCTGAGGCCGCGTGGGCCCCTTCCTCCGCATTGTTTACGGGTCCGAGTGTCCCAGGGCAGAGGGGATCCGCCGGAAACGCAGGCTCAGCAGGGCCGGCCCGGCCTTTCCCACAGCCGCTGCCCCTAACAGCAGGCGGGGAGGGCTGAGCAGCCAGGCCCGGCCCGGGAAGCGCCGGGCGGATGGATGGACGATGGCTCCTCGGGGGGGGGCCCTGCCTCCCCCGGGGGGCTGCAGCCTCAGGGAGGAAGAAGGGGAGGGAGAAGGAGGAGGAAGAGGAAAGAGGGGCAGGAGGAGGAAGGCAGGGAGAGACCCGTTTCCGAGGAGGAGGCGGCGACAGGAGGGCGTGTGGTCTGGGGCATGACAGGGCGGGGGGGCGTGGGGCCGGGGCGGGGGTCTGAGGGGCAGGGCTGCGGGCGAAGGCACCTGCCGAGGACGCGGAGGAAGGGCACGGCGCCGCCCAGGGCTGCCCCGTCCTGTCTCCACCACGCGGAGGCCTCACCAGGACAGCGTGACGCAGCTCCTAGCCTGCCCGGCCCCCGGCGAGCCCGCAGGCCTGTGGGGCCCTGGTGGGGCCTGTCTCCCGTCAGCCCCCGCCCCCTGCCCACCTGGGGCCACTCTGTGGAATGGGACCCAGGCTCCCACAATCACGGGGCGTCGCAGCGTGTGCCCAGCACTGAGGGCGGGGGGCAGGGAAGCCTTGCATGCACATGGGAGGAAGACCTGTGCCCTGGAGGGCAGGGTCAGGGACCACGCGGCCTCCCGCGCCCAGCACGCGTGACTCCAGCGAGATCTCTGCGGCCCCAGAGGAGCCTGAGGAAGCCCCGAACGGCCAGGCATCAGGCAGGAGCCCAGGGGCCACTCTGACGTCCCCACCCCCAGCGCCGGGGAGGCTCCAGGGGCCTGCAGAGAAGAATTCCAAACAAACAGAAACCGCACCACGGCCTGTGCTCCCCTCTGACCGCACAGTGGCCCGCTGCATGCTCCTCATGGGACCGAAGGCCGGCAGCAGCTGGCTGCACGCGTGTCTGTCCTCGTGACCCGCCGGGGTCACCGCAGCGCCCGACCAAGCGCGCGCCAGGCCGGGGCAGCCAAGAGGCTTCCTCTGCCCCAGCTGTGGGATGCTCGGTTCTCTGGCTTTTTGTCTCTCACGAGCTCACTCTTCCTGTGCGTGCAGACATGTGCAGACGCTCAGAAAGCCACGGACACCACGGCCAGGCACAACCAGGAACACACACGCATGCGCCATCGCAGGTCTGTGAGGCTCCAACCGAGGCAGGGCTGGCCTGAAACGAACGCTTCTTTACCTGCCCCGGAGGCTTGGCCAGAGCCTCTGCCGGTGGGGCTCCCCGATGAAGGCCACCAGGTTACACAGAGAGCACCCCAAAGGCTCCGGCCGGGCTGGGCCGCAGCCGGGGACAAAGGATGAGGACCAGGTGACGCGTCTACGTCCCACGTCCCGCAGTGACTCGGGACGGCGGACCCTCCTCGGGCCTCACCGTCCAAACTCCTCCCGAGTGACAGCAGCAGAGCCTGGCGCGTGGAGCCGGAGGGACAACGGAGGCGGGTCTCCCACGGGCCGGGGAGGTGCCGTCCGTGTGGGGCCAGGGCAGGAGGGCCTTCGGAAGGGAAGGAAAACCCGCAAGGCACAAACGGGGCGGCTTCCAGAAGGGCACGCCCTAAACTGTACGCGCCACGCCGCCTGCAAGTGCTCGCGTCATCCCGGGCCCCAGGGAAACAGCGCAGGCTGGACTCCGCATCTGCGGCCCCAGTGGCGGGGCGGCCGCTTCCCCACCCCGGGCAGGGCGCCATCTCGAGGCGCGGTGTGGCTCCGAGCAGCTGCACTGAGGACAGGGGGCGGGGACCAAAAGCTCCGTCTCACGTTTTCCCGCGCACGAGCGGGGGCCGCCCTCTGCTTCTCAGACTGTCCCCCAGCGCTGGGCAGGCACAGCTCCGGCCATTTTTGCTCAAGTTTGCAAGGCATTTCCAGGTGTAGCGCTCTGGCCCCCCTGCGCCGGTCACCCGTCCTAGGGCCCACGGCCACCCGCCCGCAGGACCCGCGACGAGAGCAGACAGACACCTGCCGGCCGCACAGAAAAGGCAGGTAGGTGTGAGATTCCAGGACAGTCCACCAGAGGGGGCTACACGCGCTGATAAATAAATTCAGAGGAACAAAGATTCAAGGCTCCTCTAAGCCAAAGGCAAGCCAACAGAGGACGGCCTTCACCACGGTCGGGAAGGCCACTCAGGCGGGGACGCAGCTGGGTGGCCAGCTGAGGCGTCGTCGGGTCCGCGCCCCCCCCCCCCCGCTCTGTGCTCTCTGAGCTCCACCCGCGGGCCATAGGCCTGACAGCGCCCGCCTGCCCGTCCCTGCTGTTCCCGTGTCAATGCGGTTCTAAGTGGCGACGCGCCTGCTTCGTGTGGACCTGGCAGGGGTGTGGCCGCGCCGCAGTCCAGCCGGCCGGGGCCCACGTGCCCGGCGCTTGCTTTTGCACAGACACGAATATCCCGTGCATGCCACGGGCCCCCGTGGACTGAACACAAACATGCACCACGTGCACACACGTGGACTCGCCGCTCAGCTTCCGCCAACGCAAAGCCACCGAGGGCGCCAGCGAGTGTCACGCGCGTTGCCCCGCACGGGCTTTTAGCCCCACTGCTAACGCGCTCATGAAAAGTCACGGAGCTTCCAAAGAGGAGCAAGTCGAGCACAGGAAGGAAAGTGGGCACCTGGCGAGGCGTTTTGGTGCGTCTGGCTTTGGAGAGGGAACACGCAGGCACGCAGCAATAGAGCTCGGCCTTGAAGCGCTGCCCCGCCTCCGGAGGAGCCTGCAGGCTCCCCTCTGCGCCCCGCCCCAGCCTTTGAGAGCCCTCCACGGGTCTGGCTTTGGCTCAGGGTAACACCAGCTTCACCACACAGGCTGGGCCGCGTCTGCTCCTGTTTTCCGGGGCGGGGGGGCGCGCAGAGTTCGTTACACGTTTGCTAGGACCCTCCAGGGAAGCCGCCTGAGCGTAACCACGGCCCTGTGGGAGGGAGGGCGGCGCGCTCCCTCCAGCTCCAGCTGCGAGAGGTGCGGCTGCTGTGCCCGGGCCGGCAGCGGTTGGTGCGGACCTCTCGCCACTTGCCCGCGCTCTCACCGCTGCTCCCAGCCAGCCTGGCCCGGCGGCCGCGGGACCCGGCGGGGCTCCGTCGAGCCCAGCCCATCCAGCCAGGCACCAGGCTCGGTCGGCCGGGGGACGGGGTAGGTGCGTAGATGGAGCCAACGGCCCTTCGTTTGCTTCCATCTAAATATTAAACTGAGGAGCGGACACGCGGGCACAGGTCCCCCTTCAGAGCCCGTCCACAGCAGAGTCCTCGCCTCACATGCCAGTCATACCCGCTAAGGACAGCGGCAGCTTAACCGCTATGCTCTGCGCACAAAGCAGCACTTACGGCCCTCACACCACAAAGGGAGCTGGGCGCTCAGCAGACGGAGGCCCGGCTGGGCACCCGGCGGGGATGCAGTGCCGTTGCCAGCCCCGCGGGCAGCAGAGCGCACCCCCACCCTGCCCTCGCGAGAGCCACCCTCCCGCCCGCCCGCGGCAGAGGCGGGACCGGCGGCCCAGGAGAAGGGGCGGGCGCTTACCGTGAGCTGCTTTGCACAGGCCGCCGGCGCAGCCCGTCTGCGGCCCAGGCAGGCCGAACGCAGGGTAGTGCGGGGGCGTCGTCACTGGAAAAGACAGCAGAGCGGCCGCTGTCCCAGGGTCCTCCCTGGGGGCAGGGCGGGGACTCGAGGGGTGAGCTTCGCTCCTTTCTCACCATACGGTGTCTGCGGAGACACCGGGAAGGCCGGTGTGGGCGGCGCAGACTCGCTGCTGCTCTTGCTTGGAGAGAAGTCACCGCCGTCCACCCCGTCGAGGTCTGGGGGATACCCGGCCATGACCACCTGGAAGTCACGTGGGGGTGGGGCTCAGGGGAGGCCGCGCCTCCCCACTGAGCCCGGGTCGCGAGCACAGCAGCCTCAGCGCGAAGCGCAGCCGAGCAGCCCCTGGTGACCTGCGGCGCGGTCGCGGGTGCGTCAACACCCTGCAAGGAGAACAGGCGGAGGCAGGCAGGACAGGCCCCGGCGCCCCGTCCGCTCGCACGTGAGGCCCACAGGGGCTCTCCTCTGGCTCCGCCCGGGGCCCAGCGTCTCCGCCCCGAGAACACGTAAACCCTGATCTGAAAGGGCTCCTGCGCTGGACGTCCGGCAGCTTGTCTTCCTCTGGCTCTGGTCAAAAGCCTTAACTGTGCTCCCTGGCAGAGGCTGGCTCTGCGATGTCCCCGCGGGGTCCCTCGGCCACACTGACCCCTGCGCCCTGCTTCCCTCCGTGGTCCCTGAGGGTGGGGTGGGGTCTGGGCCACTTGACAACTGTGGGGAGCCTGCTCGCCTTTGCTGCTGCCGACCCCCCATGGACCTCCATCCTGTGCCCGGACCTCACCTGCACCCCTGGCTCCGCCCCTCGCCCCACGCACACGCCAGAGCAGAGGCCCGGGGCCCAGCGGCCAGGGAGCCGCTCAGACCCGCAGACCACACCCTGCCCCGAGAGCGGGGAGCCCTGCCCGTGAGTGGGCGGGGGAGGGGCCTGCCGCCTGGGAGGGAGCTCTGGGCGGGGTGCGGCCGTACCTCTTTAGCGTCCGTTAGAGACAGGAAAGGTGCCAGGCCCAGGGTCTGCTCTGCTCCCGTGGGCTTCCCCCAGCCACACTTGGAGAAGGCAGGCTGCCCCCCGGCGTTGTTGTCATACTGTCCGAGGCTCAGCTTCCGGAACCTTCTGCGGCCCAGCGACTCGTCCCCAGAGGGGCCTGTGAGGAGAGACACGGGGGGGCTGCCTCTGAAGCTTCCCTGGGACACCCGGGACTTCCCATTCTCCCCAGTCAGGCCCATCGCCTCTCAGTAGCTGTGGTGTTCGCATGGCGTTGCTTAGGACGGTCCGGGCTGCCCACCTGCAGGGCTGCCCCCTGCGGCCCACGCGTGGAGGGCACTCACGGCCTTGCTGAGGAAGCCGGCAGCCGCGGCCCCCGGGCCTGTCCCTGCCGCACCGCTCCCGCCCTCTGTCGCCGAGGTAGATCGGTCCTTCCCCCCAAGTGTCCCTCGGGGCCTGTGCCGACCAGCTGGTGTCCACCGGGCCTTGGCTTCCAGAAACGAGCCACCCACCCCAGACACCAGCGTCCTCAAAACCGACGGACCCTCAGACCTCTGAGGGGCGGCTCCCTGCCACCGAAACCGAGAGTCGCTGTGTGGCCCCGTGGTCCCACTCCTGGGTCTCTGCTCCAAAAAACTGAGAACAGGTGTCCAAATAAACGTGTGCACGTGAATATTCAGAGCAGCATCATTCAGTCGCCAGAAGGCGGACGCAGCTCGACGGCCCACCAACGATGAGTGGACAACCCCCCGCAATGCGGCCACCCACAGGGCAGCGCAAGGGCGTTCAGCCCGACCAGAGGAGCTCTGACGTGCCAAGCTGCGGGGACGCCCGGAGACCGGGGTGCTCGGGGGAGGAAGCGGACGCCGAAGGCCACGCGTCACCTGATTCCGCTGACAGGACACACCCAGAGCAGAGACAGAAAGCAGGGGAGGCTGCGGGGCAGTGGCTGAAGGGGGGGGCTGGGGAGTGGCCGCTAACAGGGACAGGGCCTCTCACAGTTCTGAGACTCGATGGGGTGATGCCGCACAGCGGTGTGAAGGGAGCACCCCTGAATGGCATCCTTCAAAGTGGAGAAAACAGGAAATCGAGATGGCAGAGGAGGGAATGGAAGTCACACTGACCTCGTCCAAGGATCAATCTGGAATTACAACTAAATCGTGGAGAAATCACCTGGAACGAACAACTAAGCAATAGTGAGAAAGGAGCCTTATGACCTTGGATGGACATAAGAATCAGCTTTAGCACAACCTGACTGCCACTTACCCTGGTCTCTGACAAAGGTGGGGGCAGAGTGGGCTGGAGATGCCCGAGGAGAGACTGGGGGAGGAGGCTTTGGGGAGAGAGCTGAGAGAGTGGCCGGCAGGATCCCAGTGCTGACTCCTCCCCCATGTGGCAGCAGCCTGAGAGGACCCAATAGCCCCGCCCCCAGGAGGGACTCTGCCCTGCCCTGTGGTGCCTAAGCCTGATTGCTGAGTGCAGAGTGACTAGATTAACAGCCGAAGGAGGCAGCCACAGGCAGTAGGTTCCTGAAAGTCTCGGAGAGACTGCCTGAGGTCAGACAGGGTCAACAACTGACATCATCAGAGGCAGATCCAGAAAGTAAAAACAGTGGTCTCCTACCATAGAAGTTCACACCACAAAGTCAGGAAATCAAGACAAATCAACTTTAGAAGCAGAAGCAAAAAAGAAGATTCTCACAACTAATGGGAAGACAAAGAAACACCCCCCCTCCCAGTTGAAGAGAAAAGAGGAATCTCCAGAAAGAGAAGTAAATGAAATAGAGGCAAGTAAACTATTAGAAACTGCATTCAAAACAATGGTTCTAAGGAAGGTCAGTGAGCTCAAAGAGAATTACCAAAAACTACAGGGAAACTATGAGGAACTTATTACAAACTATATCAGCATGAAAAAAGACATAGAAACTATCAATAAGAGACAAGAGAAAATGGAGAATACAATTTCTGAATTGAAGAACACAGTAGAAAGAATCAAGAGCAGGCTAGATGAAGCTGAGGATCGAATCAGCGAGCTGGAGGATAAGGTAGGAAAAAAGCTCCCAGAAAGAGCAAGAAAAAGGACAATGAGTTAAAAAGGATGAAGAGGCGTTTAGGGAAATGCAGGACAACCTGAAACGTAATAATCTCCGTATAATAGGGATACCAGAAGGAGAAGAGGATGAGGAAGGGATAGAGAACCTGTTTGAAAAAGGATGGAAAACTTCCCTAATTGGAGGAGAGAAAAAGTCACGCAAGTCCAGGAAGCACAGAGGGTCCCATTCAGGAGGAACCCAGTGAGGCCCACTCCAAGGCACATCATCATTAAAACGGCAACTATCAAAGACAAACAGAGAACCCTAAAGGCAGCAAGGGAGAAGGAGGGAGTAACATATGAGGGAGCCCCAGTACGGCCAGCAGCTGACTTCTCAACAGAAACACTACAAGCCAGAAGGGAATGGTGGAAATATTCCAAGTCATGAGAAGCAAAGGCCTGCAACCAAGACGGCTCTACCCAGCAAGGCTCTCAGTTCAAATGGAAGACGAAATAAGGAGTTTCCGAGACAAAAGAAGGCTCAAAGAATCCACCCCCACCAAGCCAGCACTGCAAGATCCGCTTCAGGGGCTGCTGTGAGGAGATGAAGAAAAGGAGTCTGTGATACCCAGTTCCTTTCTCAGTCGCCAATACTTGAAATTACCAGTATTTTTAATACTTAATCTGATTGTGACAATGATGTGTTATTTTAAGTGTGACTTTATTATTTGTTGAAACTAAGCCTGTTTTTGTATATTTCTTGCCTATTTCCATTATTTTTAAAAAGCTTTAAATGACTTTTTGGTATTCTTTATCCATTTTTTGATTAAATGTTTGTAGAATTTTTTCCCTAAAACAAAAAAAAACCATTAACCCTCTTTTAGATGTGTTGCAAATACTTTTATTCTATTACTTGTCCTTTAACTTTTTTAATATGTATATTACTACGTAGTCGTAAATGTTTAACGTAGTCACATTGTGAATATTTTACTTTATAGCTTCTGGGCTTGAATATTTTATTTCAGGGTAAGAAAGAAAAACATTACTTAGTATTTTCTTCTAAAACTCCTTTGTTTTTTCATATTGATTTTTATTTAACTCACCTGATTATTTTTTGTATAATGTGTGAAATAAGGCTCTATATTTGTTTTATTTCAAGTAATAGCAATCCATGCACCTTATTTGTTGAATATGCCTTATTTTTCTCATTGATTTGAAATATCAAGTTAATCATATATGTTACATTGTTAGATATATACGTTCGCTCATTTTATTTCATTGATCTGCATGGTTATTTCAGTGCTAGTGTCATGTTGCTTTAACTGCTGAGACTTTATAATGGATTTAAGTTCTTTAGCATTTTAAAATGGATTTCGACATTTAAAAAATAAATAAATAAAATCAATCTGCATTAAAAAAAAAAAGGTCCGAACTGCCGGGTTTGTGGCAGGTGCCTGCAGTGCCCGCGGGTCGGCCACCACACTCCGGCCTTCCCTGCCGCCTGTGGCCTTCTTCTGGCCTAACCCAAATGAGAGACGTAAAAGGTGAGATCTAAAAGTTAAAACCGGGGGCTCCGGGGTTCCCCGTACCTGCCCGGCGGGGACGGATCTGGCTTCTCCTCAGTTGCAATGGCTGGGGGCCTGCCTTTGGCGGGCTTTCTCTCGAGGCAAGGTGACCTGATCGAGAGCCACAAGCCTGCCTGTCGCTGCTCGGAGACCCTCTAACACCGTCCAGACCCTGCAGGTCAAAGGCGGCGCGAGTCTCAGCGGCCGCCCTGCCCGGGCGGGCGCTGGCCTGGTGCAGGGAACGCACCTGGTGCGCGCCTGGGGGTGGGGGCGCGCTCGGGGCGGGAGGGCCTGGGCCCTGGGCCGGCCCCGAGGCCGTGCGCCCTGCCGCCAGCGGGAGCCGTCTTGCTGCTCGGGGCCCCTGCGGCACAGGCTTCCTGACAGAAGGTCACGTCCCCACTTCGAAAAAGCCTCTGAAGATTAGTATCCAGTTTGCTGATACATAACCTGCTGCCATCTCTCTGGCTCTAAAAGCGTGGGAAAACCCCACTGAAGGCCCGTGACTCCCGCCGATGATGAACGCAATGGCCTAGAAAGCACTTTAACTGAAGTCTCCTACAATATGTAACCACACACACTGAACGTTGCTGACTCAGTGTCGAAGGGCTCAAGTCCTTTCACTTACAAAACGCCATTAATTCACTTTTATAATAAGAGGAACTAGAGATGACCTAAAAGCAAGATCAGAATTTCAGTAACCGAAGCGGGGAGAGTTCCTCAAGCGGCCGCGGCCGGGAAGCAGCCACCGCCTTTCTCCCGCTCGCTCTTTTGCTGCAACACCGGCTGGAGTCACTAGGGGGTGCGCTGCAACAGCGGGAAAACCAGGGAGCCTGAAGCCGCTGTCACCTGGGCTCCAAAGTCCTCTTCCCCACATCCACTCACCCTCCCACCACCTCCGCACCGCGAGGAAGAGTTTCATCCAGAAGGAAAACTTCCGACTTTCCTGTTTCCAGGTGACGCCTGGGAAACAGGCTCAGCGGGGCGAGGCGCGCGCCAGAGGGAGCACTGCTGCCCGGAGCCTTGTTGAACTCCTTCCTGCCTGCCTGCCTGTGTCTGGCCGAGCTCGCCAGGCCGGCCCCTGGGGCCTGAGCCAGCGCCACCCGGCTGCTGCCGCTGCAGGACCGGGGCTCTGCGTCTGCCTGCAGCGGCCTGACGGACTGTCTGCTCAGGGCAGGCTCAGTGGCTCCCGGCTCCGGACACAGGGTCCCCAGGGCCCAGGGAAGCTGGCCGACACCTGTGGCCAGGTACCGGACAGGTGTGTGCGGGCCCTTCCATCGGCAGGGCGCTATGACAGGGTTGCTTTTAACAGATGGAACGAGCAGACATTCAGAGATGGCGTCCTTCACCCGCCAGAACTGCAGGGTCCGCCACCGCAGGGCGCGGCGGGACGCAACCGGCCCCGCCTGGGCGGCTCTGGAATCCACCCACCGCGACCTGTGAGACCTCGGGAGGGCCGCCACCCCGCTGCCTGACCCCTCTGGAAGCGCTGACGTTGGGACGCGCTCCGCCCTGCAGCCGGGGCCGGGGCGGCAGGGGAGCCCAGGAGGCGGAAGGCCCAGCACTGGGTACTGAGGTCCGCGGGCCCGACTGAGGAGCACGAGCCCAGCGCCTGTCCTTCCTTCATTCACCCTCCGGCCGGGCTGCTCAGGGGCAGGGCGCTGGGAGCTTGGCCCAGAGAGAGACACACGCCAACACGGGGAGCCTGGCCCCCAGCGTCGCAACCCTCTGAGCCCTGGGGGGCCTCTGGGCTCAGGACCTGCCTGGTCAGAGCCCGTGAGCTCCACGTCCGCACACCTCAGTGGTGGTGAATGCCTAGCCTGGGTCCATCCTTTCTGTGTGGAGCCTTCTGGATGCACATTCTCCCTGCAGCCTTCACACACCGTCCGTGCCCTGACCCGCCGGCCGCCACCCCTCCCAGCAGCCCTCTGCCCTTGGACGCCTGTCCAGGCCCAGCCACAGCCAGCTCACCGGGCCCCCAGCCTTGTGCCTCCAGGAGACAGAGGGCACGTCAGAGGCTTGGTCCCGGCACGTGCCCCACGGTCACGCTGCCCTGCAGCCAGAGGTCCCTGCCTGTCCGCTGCAGCCACTCTGGCCCTCCCAGGACTAGCAGCTGGGCAGGGAGGCCGGCCCAGCCCGCCTCCCCCCGTCAGCACGGCCCCCGCTGCAGCGGGGCGCCCTGTGGGGCCGGGCCTGGGCCTTGTGGCCTGGGCTCCACTGCCCCAGCCACCATCTCCTGCACCCACCTTGCTCCCCCGCAACCCACCGGCACAGCCTCCGCGTATGCTCTGCCGCCGCTCCCTGCGTGGCCAGTCCAGGGGCCTCTCATGCACCAGGGCTGTGCCGTTGTCCCCCGTCCCGCAAGACTGCGCCTTGGGGCCAGCTGTCCACCCCGCCCCCCCTCCAGCGAAGGGCCTGCGCTCTGCCGCAGAACAAGGAAGCGCCCCACGTGCCTGTTAAACACCAGCTCACCTTGCTGCGCGGCGACCCTGCCGGGGTCCTCGCCTCTGTCCTGCAGGCGGCCGCTGGCCCGGAGTCCCCCCGCCACGCTGTCCGGGGCTGCGGGGCCGTTGGCCTGGCTGCCCAGCGTGCTCAGGTGAGTGGGGAGCGGCTCGAAGGTGGGGTCCAGCTCCAAGATCAGCCTGTTGAGCTGCTCGATGGACTGGTCGATGTCCAGGGTGGGCGAGCCCGGGGAGGGGTCTGGGCTGGGCGCTGGGCCCATCCCATTGACGACGCTGACCTCCGGGAACCTGGCTTTCAGAGCTTTGCCAGGAGGGGGCCGCGGCGTGTCGGGCGGATGTGTCCCGGGGCCCACGCCCCTCTGGGGGGGCACCCGGCTGCCGGCCCCCGGGGCGGGGGTGACCAGGAGCCTGGGCTGGGCCTGTGCCAGACGGGGGCCATCCGCGGGGCCGTGGCCCATGAGCCGGGCCTCCCCACTGGGGGCGAAGCTGTACTGCTGGGCGGCCACCAGCTGCTGCTGGCGCACCCAGGTCTGCGTGGAGTAGCCGCTCGGCTCGTAGGCCGGCGCCTGCAGGGACACGCAGGGCGCCCCGCGCTCGGGTGGCGGCTGCTTGGGCTCGCGGCCTCCGAAGGCCTCTCGCTCGTAGAGGGGCCCCACACTGAGGCCCAGGCCTGGGGCCAGCGCGCTGTGCTGGTCTTCCACGGCGCTGCTGCCGAACCCCTCCAACAGGAGTGAGTTGTGGCTGCTCTGGTGGCAGGCAAAAGGGCCCAAGTGGGCCGCCTGGTGTCCCTCTGAGGAGGACAGGGTCCCGACGCTGTCCACGCTGTGCAGGTCGTGGCTGGGCACCTCGTCGTCCAGGATGTCCGTCTCCCGGTCCCTCGGGGCGGTGTCCCCGTTCACGTGGACCTGGGCCGGCACGACGTGGCGTGTCCCGCTGAACTTGGCGCACGCATCGGTCATGTCCTGGAGGGGGCCGCCGGCATCGTCGAGGCCAAAGCCGCTGAGCAGCTGATCCAACTCGGCCTTCTCCTGGGGGCTCAGGCCCCTCTTGGGCCCCGGAGCCAGGTGCTCCTCGGTCCTGTCTGTCCGCGCGGAGGCCGTGGAGTGGCCCGAGTCGCTGCTGACCGACAGGGTGTGGTCACTGTGGTCCGGGCTGCGGGCGGCGGGCACGGCCGGGGCCCCGCCTGGGACGCCGGGGTCCGAGGCGCTCTTCTTCCTCACCTTTGCGTAGAGACTGCCGTCGACCGGGCCCTGCGTGTGCGGCACTGGGGGGAGGACACGGGAGGGGACGGTCAGGCGAGGGCGCCTGCCCAGGCGTGGAGCTGCCTGCACCCTGAGGCGAGCTCGTAGCTGACAGCTCGCAGTGATCAGGGACCCACCCGCCTCTCGGGTCCCCTAACCCCATGAACCTGGACGGCAACGAAAAGCAGTTCCTGGGACCAGCTTCAGGCCCCTGAGACCGTCCCACCTTTCCACACAGAGCCGGTCACTGGGGCCACTTGCCGTGGGGCTTTGTGGGTGATTTCACCGCGGTTTGAACGCCGAGCTCACTCAGCGCGTGCGCCCCCAGGAACCAAGAGCGTACCGTGCGCCCAGGCGGCTGCGCCCCACACCCCCACCCGCCCTGTTGAGCCTCTGCCAGGGCCAGGCGGCGAGTCCTTCTAGATCAAGAAGACAGAACAACGCTCAGGTCTGCGGCCGTCTGAGACTGTCGCTGATGGAGAGAGGAAGGGCGGGGCCTGGCCCACGTCTTCCTGTTACCACGGCGTCTCCGGGCCAGAAAGGACCGGCGCGTGCAGAGCAGGACTCAGACACCCAAGCAGGCCTCCGTGCCGGAGTCCGCCCGCTGATGGGCTGGGAGGTGCAGCGAGGCCTCTGCCGCTGCCACCTGCTCCAGCCCTGCTGCTTGCGCCGGGCCCCTGAACGATGGCAGAGGCACCCAATGGCACGAGGCTTCCCTCCGCCCCCGTCCTTCCCCAGAGAACCGCAGGCAACCACAGCGGGGCCACTGAGGGCCTGGCCCACAGTCCCAGCAGGTTGAGCTGCTCTGGAGGGCGCAGCCCGGAGCGCCCGGCTCCGGCCCGGGCACGCCGGCGCACGGCCACGGTCAGCGGCTCTGGTCTCTTTGGAAACACAGGTGACAAGTCAGCACAGGGGCCTGCGGGCGTCTGGGGGCCGTGCCAAAGGCACACAGGGCAGGGGCTCCCTCACTTCACACGTGGCTCAGGAAGCAGGGTGGGAAGCAACGGGGGACGGCCGGCCTGGCAGCTCCCCACGGACACCTCAAGGCGGCTGCGGGGGACGGGCCTCTCCGTGGGGGCCGCTGCAGCGGCAGCCCCGGGACGGCTCACGGACAGCCGGGCTTTCTGAGCACCTGTTATGGGCAGGCGCTTGGCGGTTTTCTCCAGCCTTCGCAGTGATGAGAGCCGTTACTCCTTTCTGCAGATGAACACCTCAGGCTCTGGGACAACGAGTGACTTGCTCGAGGTCAGGCAGCTGCTGGGGGCCCTGACTACGTGCCAGCGGCTCACAGCCCACCTGCTCAGGGAGCACAGGACACACACACCCCAGACTGCTGACAGCAGCCCTGCCCCTGAGCCAGGTGGTATTGTCACTACACTCTGAACACATCCGCGTGGGGTCCTGGGCCTTGGCAGAGCCGGCACCCGTAGAAAGGCCTGGAGCTCCGGAAGTGAACGCCAGGGCACCCAGAAAGCCGACCCTTAATTTCAAGGGCCACCCGAACATCAGCTCTACAACTTTAAAGGGCAAACTGCCACTGGTGCATGAGTCACCGTCCTGCGCTCTCAGACACTGCTGGGCGCGTGCTGAACAGCCAGCTGCCAGCGCGGGAAGACGAACTCACGCACCCAGGTGGGTGCTGGCCCGCACCGGCCCTGGGTCGCCAAGCCCTGAGCCCCTCGACCTTCCACCCCCCCAGCTGTGGGGTGAGTGTGGGGGGCCCCACGTGGGGATGGACGCAGCATGTCTTCACGGCCCCAAGGACGCACCATTTCACCGGCCTCTGCCGGCGGCCCTCCGACCCCGGGAAAGCCCGGCCGCCCCGAGCACCGCGCATTAGGCACAGGTGGGCGGCTCTGAGCAAAGGTCCCTGACCCGCGCCACGGGGGCCTCACACCGCGCCCGGCCCGGGTGGGCGGCCACAGGAGAGGCTGCAGCCACAGCTGGTGGGGGGGCGGGGGGGGCCTGAGAGCTCAACGGGTTTCTTGCTGCGATGACTGTGCACGTGTGACCGGCACGCCTCCTCCCTAAATTGGAATTACAGTGGACCGGCCCGGTGCCGCCCCGGGGAAAGGGGCCGGGGCCGCGCCCCCGCGGGGACTCGGGGCTGGCGAGACCCCCACTGCTGCCAGCTGTGTGGGGCGCAGGCGGGAGCCGGCAGGGCGCGGTCGCTCCGCCTGCCCAGCGTCTGCGTCCACGTTGAAGCGGCACGTCTCCGCTCGTGTCTCCGGCCCAGGCGGGCGCTGCAGACCCCGGCCCCGAGGCGGGGCGTGACCCGCCGAGACCCCGCCGCCTTTGAGGGCGGACGCAGGACGAGAGCCTCTGCCCTCCCTGTGCCGCCCCATCCCTTCCTGCTGCCCCTCCCGGCGGCCAGCACTGAGGCCCCTCAGAGGATCCCGGCCTGTGTGGCCGGGATGGCCCTGCAGCCACCAAACACACCCGGACCACGGGCGACAGACCAAGGAGACATGGCCTCTGGGGAAGACCTGGGAGGAAAAAAGGGCGGGGAAATCGGGGGCTCAGAAAGGACTGTCGCTGCAGCGGCCAGCCCCGGCCAGCCCCGCCCACCCACCCACCCACCTTCGGAAAGGCGCTTTCCCGCAGGAAGAAGGGAGGCTCTCAAAACAGCCCCCACATGTGTGCGGTCGGCCACCCAGGGACAGGCGCGGGGCGGGGGGCCGGGAGGGGCCGGCGCACTGGCCAGGCCTCCGTGGGCAGCAGCTGCAGGGAGGGGGCGTGGGGAGAGCAGAGGGTGCGGCCAGGCGGGGCCGCTCTCAGGGGGGTTCGCGCCATGTCCCTGGGGGACAAGGGGCCTGAAACACGCTCTCCTGCCACCAGGGCCTCGTCCTGAAGGCGCAGCCCCACCCCGGCACCCCCGTGAGCCCGGGCTGCGGACTCCTGACGCGCACGCGGGCCTCTCCGAGCTGCAGGCGGGGCCCCGGGCGGCAGCCCCCGCACACCTGCCTGCCGGCGACCCGCGGAGAATCCCTGCCTTTGGAGCCAAGTCGAGCTCTTGGCAAATGTTTTCTAGAAACAAGCAGGCTCTGAATTCTTGGAGAAACACAGATCAGGGGGAAAAAAAATAGCAGGCGGAGGAGCGAGGCATTCCAACCAGAAGCAAACGCCTCCCCGGGAGGAACGCGCCCGCCGTGCGACCCAACCTCTGAGCGAGGCGCCCAGCGCTCCTGGCGGCCCCCATGCGCGGCTCCGGAATGCGGCAGGGATCCGGCATGTCCTGGACGTGGTGACCGCCCAGACAGCCCACACGACCGTGACCGCAGCCAGCACGGCTCCTGTCCCCGCCTGACACGTCCAGGCACCGCCCTGGCAGTGCGGACGGTGTGGCTGGCCCCTCCGGACACGCCTCGCTCACGCATTCCAGCCCCGGAGCAGGGGCGGCAGCACCGCTGACCTCCGGCCCTGAGGCCTGCGCGTCTCTCCTTCGGCGGCAGGAGCGGGGTTCTGCGGCCACTCAGCTCCCGGCCCCCACACCACCTCCGGCCCTCGGGACGCTCTGCCTGCTGCGCAGCTCAGACCGGCCGGCGACCAGCCTGGTCGCAGGTCTCTGCGGGCTCGCGGAAGCCACGTGCACACGCACAGGCACACGCGCACACACGCGCACACGGGCACGCTCCCTCCTTACCTCCTTTCCACCCCACCCAACAGCTCCTCCAGCCTAGGACTGGGGGACCCGGGATCGGGGGAAGAGAAGAGCACACCGGCTGGGTGTGCCTGCCGGCAGCCGCCCAGCCCAGGAGCCCAGGAAGGGGAGGGTCTCGGCGACTGCGCTGGGACTTTGACTCGGCCAAAACGGCCGGCCCAGCGCAATGTAAACAGGAGGGTGGGGCTCGGGGCAATCAGGTTTGGTGAAACTTGAACTCCGGAGGCTGAGGGGGCGGAGAAACGGCTTCTCAGGGCAGGACCAGGCGGCCAGGCCTCCAACCGCCCAGCCCGGGAGCCCCACTCCTCCCCCAGACCACAGCTTGCACACCCACTGCCTTCCCGGAACACCCGCCGGCCGCCCCCACCCCCCGCCCGCCTCCTCCCCTCCTCCTGGGCCCTTCGCGCACTAGCTTGTCCTCCGCACGGGGCAATTCTTGCACAACCTCTTCCCGTTTCCCTTTTCCCTTGACTCAGGGCCCGTGCCCTCCTGAGGAGCCCCTGGCCTTCTGGGCTCTGCACACCTCCCGTGGGAGAAGCGTGCAGGAAAGGCCCGCCCGTCCTGACGACGGGCCAGAGGGCGGGCGGGTCACGGGGCACCCACGGCGGAGGGGGGCGGGGCACCCGGGGGCGCACGGGCACGGGCCTCCCGGCCTGCTCTCTCGGGCTTCTGGTTCTGCGTGTCAGGTATTTAATGAACGCCAGTACCGTCCCTACTGCCGACGCCGCCGGGGTGTCTGGGCCCGCCTCGGCGGAAGCACATCTGCAGTGACCTGCTTTTCACGAAAAGGGACGGAAAGGGTCCCCCACGCAGGACACAGCAGGAAGCTCCGCCCCTGTCCTCAGCCCGTGTCCCTGTTGGGAGGGACAGGAGAGCAATGAGGGCCTGACCAAGGGCAGCTGCCAGGCTCTGCCCAGGACGGCAGGGAGTCTAGGGAGCGCCCTGGCCTGAGCGGAGGTGGAGGGGGGGCAGAGGAAGGCGCGTCCACCCTGCGGTGATGAGGCTGAAACCCCGTCTGCGTCCCGCCTTCTGGGGCCTGACCCGGGACAGAGGGGCTCCTGTGCCCTCAGGCAAGGCCCTATGCCAGGGGCCGCCAGCCCAGGGGACAGTCAAAGGCATCGGGAGGCAGGTCACCGAGCCACTCAGCCTCCCCTCCGAGAGGTGTGAGGGGTGTGGGGAGCGGGGGGGGGGGAGGGTTCAGGACGGAGACATCGCCCATCAGGGGACCCGGGGCGCCTCCTGGAAGGCGGCTTCACAGTGACAGCGAGAACGCAGAACGGACCACACACGTGCTGGGGACCCTCTGCTGGAGCCCCGTGTGCTCAGGACCTGGGCCCTTAGGAGGCGGGTGGGCGCTCACACAGGGAGGTCCCATGGCACCTGGAAACCACGCCCATGTCCGCTGCCCAGGGCAAGGCTTTGTCCACACGGGCAGTCTGCCTTCTCAAAAGTGCTGTCAGGGCCCAGGGGGGACCGGGAGCCACGTGCCACCTGGACTGCACAACCGGTGGCCCCTACATCCCGGCAAGCACACTCGCCTCGGAGATGGGCACCGCCGCCGCCCCCTGCGCACGGGCTCTGGGCGAGGCGGCGCCAGGAGGCAGCCAGGCCGACGGGGGGCGTGCTGGCTGTCCCTCCCGCGGGCCAGGGAAGAGGGGACCGCCCGCGCTCCCGTGAGCCTGGAGACCCTCGGCCCCACCGCCCTCAGCCTCCGCGGCCCCTCCCCGTGGGCCCAGCGGACGCTGCCCTTCCCTTCGGCGGGGTCCCAGGGCGCGGAGGGCGGGTGGAGGCAAGAGGCCGCCCCGAGACGGCCGAGGCAGCAGGGCCGCAGGGCGGGGGGCAGACAGGCGTAAAGCCGAGCCCGCCGCCCGCGGGGCTGACCCCAACGGGGCTCAGCAGGGAGGGACAGGAGGCGGCGGCCGGTCCCTGGCGACAAGCAGCTGCGACATCAGGCAGGGAAGCTCCCCGGTGACAGCCTCGCCGGGCGGCCACTGCCCACGACATCTGCCAAGAGCCTGACAGGCCCCGATGCCCCAGGCCCGCGCTCACGAGCTCCCCAAACCCACAGGGCGGGGCGCCGCCCCTCCGGAAAGGCAGCGGGGCCTCCAGCCTCCCAGGCCCGCGGGGACAGTTCCAATGCAAACGCGTCGCTGATGCCAGAGGGGCAGACGCACCTTCGCCGTCAGCGCTCAGGTTCTCGTAGGAGTCCCAGCGGATCAGCGGGTCGGCCGTGTTGAAGTCCACGCTCACCCCGTGGTCATTGCGCAGGTGCTCGCAGCCTGCAGGGGCCGGGACGCAGGCGTCAGTCGGCTGAGCCAGCAGCCCCTCTGCGCCGCCGCTGCCAGCTGAGAGCTGGGAGCCGCGCGCCGGTCCAGCCGCGCCCCCGGCCGGCTTCCCCGCTGGGCCAGTGAGCCGCAGCGGGAGCTGCTGGGCAGGAGGGGAGGCCAGTGCCACCCGCCGTCCGCCGCGCGGGTCTCCAGGTCCCGAGGGCCACGTCCGCACACAGGGCCACCCGGAGCCTCCCCACAGCCTTGCCCAGAGCCAGGCCAGCCTCGGGGCGGCCCCGGCCCAGAGCCACGCTCACCCTGCAGTCTCTGGGGCCACGGGGACGCGGAGCCCACGAGCCTGGCGCTTAACTGCCTGCCTCTATCATGACATTGCGTCCAGGGGTGGGGGTTTATTTCACTCAGTGAGTGAAACCGAGTCAGGCCCTGGCTGGTGTGGCTCAGTGGACTGCGTGCCGGCCTGCGAACCAAAAGGTCGCCAGTTTGATTCCCAGTCAGGGCACAGGCCTGGGCTGCGGGCCAGGTCCCCGGTTGGGGGCGTGGGAGAGGCGACTGATCCCTGTTTCTCTTCCCCTCCTTCTTCCCCCTTCCCCCCCCTCTAAAAATAAACAAAATCTTTAAAAAGAGAAAAAACAAAAAACAAAACAACCCAAGTTAGGAAGTTCCTGTACAGGGATCTTGGGCTCAGAAACGAGCCCCAGGCCTCGATGATAAAAGGGCTGGTGCCTCCCTCCCTGTGCGTTTAGAAGGAAAATGTACTTTAAACACAAAGGTCTGCAGACTATAGAGCTTCTAATCTCCTTTAAAAACGCCCGGTTGTTCGTTAAGAGGAAGAGGAAACATTCCGCGTGACGTCCCCGAGAAGAAAGGGACGAACTCCAGGGACCAGGCCCGCCCTCTCCTCCACGCTGTCGAGCGTCCTGCAATTAAAATCTCCGCGCTGAAAGCTCCCCCACGGGGCAGGGGTGGGAGGCCGGACCGAGGCCCGCCCGCGCCCACCTGGGATCCTGTCGGGGGTGGCCGAGAACACCAATTCGATCTTCCCGTTGGCGGGAAAGCGGTCGTCTGAAACAGAAACCAGCGTCAGCCTCCGGCGCGAGGGGCCACCAGAGCAGGGGCCGCGGTGCCCCCGTGGCTGGACCGGGGCCGGGACGGCACAGTCCGAGCGAGGCCGCCCCGCGCACCCGTGCAGGGAGGTGCCGGCGCCCGCTGCCTCCCCGGAACGTGTTCTGGCTGGGCCGACGGCCAGTCTTCCCCGAGGTGGGTCACGCTTCTGCCCTCGGGGTAGTTGGCGGGAGGGGGCAGGGAGAACAAGAGCGCCGGGGGCGGCCGCGGACGTGCCCCCTGGTCCGCGTGGCGGGCGCCCACCTTGGCAGGCGCCGTCCAGCTCCTCCTTCCCGAAGACGAGGCTGTGGCCCTGCACGGCCCCCGTGTGGAACTGCAGGCGGAAGATGGCGTCGCGGGTGGCGGAGCGGTACTTCTTGTGGTAGCACTTCACCTGGTGGGGAGAGAAGCGTGGCAGCCGCAGGGACAGCCCCTCCGTGGGGCAGTCCTCGCGGGGGGCTGCTGGGCTGCGCCAGGAGCGGGCCAGGCCGGGACGGCGGCGCCCGGGGCTGCCCGGTGGGGCCACGGGGCGCACGGTCGCAGCCCTGCGCTCGCCAGCGGCCACGCCGACCCTGCAGACCCTCCAGGAGGGCGTCTCCGCGGAAGACACCTGCCGAAGGAAACCCTGTGGCTTGCTCAGTTTGAACAACGGACTGCGAGGACAGCTTTCTGTCAGCGAGACTCGCCACGTTTCCTCCCGAAGCCTTTCTGTTTCTCACAGGGCAGCAGGCAGGCACTGCCGCCCGCAACAAGCCCAACACTCTCACGTGCGCTCTGATTTGGAGACAGGTGTGTGGGGGGAGAGGGGCAGACAGGCGGAGAGAGAGGAAGGCGGGGGGCGGGGCGCGGGGCAGAGTGACAGGGAGGCCAGGCGGGCGGCGCGGCCAGGTGAGGCCAGCCCGGCCCCCCTGAGGTGTGGCTGGACTCAGGCCCCTGCTGAGGCCCCCGGGCCCTGGCCCAGGGAGGCAGAGTGTGGCGGGAATGCCCTCCCCAGTGGGAGCAGCAGGCGGGGACGGGGCTTCTGGAAGCAGCGATCTTCCTAAAAGACCCCCTGGAGAGAGATGGGCTTAAAAAGCGGTGTGACCAGAGGCCTGTGAGGGGCACAGGCTGACAGGGAGTGGGAGACGCACATGAGCTGCGGGGGCGTCTTGCGGTGACAAGCGTGCTGAGCCCTCCCCCCGGGACCTACTCCCGGGCGGCTGCCGCTGCAGAACCAAGGTTCTGCAGGCTGGGACAACTCCGTTTGCTTGCCTCCCGCCTCTGTCCGGGGGCCTCGGACTCCTCAGCGGGGCCCGACCAAGGGCCGTCCACCCTCTGTGTCCCTCCAGAGTGTGCTGCGTCCCTCAGCCCTGTGGGTGCCCCTCACCCTGCACGGTCCCTGCTGACTGTTCAGGAGGCCCCTGCCATCCTGCAGAGGGGACTCCACACGGAGGCCCCCCATCTGCCTCCGTGTCTGCTTCTCCCCACTGGCCCCGGGGACGTGGAGCCTGAGGGCTAACGGCGAGGAGGAGAGGGAGGGAGGTCTGGGCTTGTGGCCGTGTGGCTCCCAAACCTTCATCAACACCGAGGGAAACAAAAGCTTTCAGACTCTGAGGCGAGGCCGCCCCGGGGGCCGCCCGTGGGAGGCGCCCCGGAGAGCTGGCAGCTCCGGGGCCCTGGGGAGCGCGGGCACCGCGGGATGTCGGGGGCCACTGTCTCCTGCTCTGAGTCCCCTCGCCGCTGGGTTGCCCCACGGGGGGCCCCGGCTCGCCGCTTGTCACAGGCGCCGGCACAGCTGCTCACGGCTGGAGTCACGGACGACCCCGGGCCGGCCAGTGCGCAGGCCCACTGTCCCCACCTCGCCGTCCCCCGGCCGCGCGAAACCCGCCTGTGCCCCGCAGCGAGCCCTGGCTGTCAGCGACCGCGGCCCGCGTGCCCCCGCCCCTCGGCGGCCCCGGGCAACGTGCACACACAGTGGCCGCGCCCCTGCAAGGCGGCGCTCTGACACGGGGGGGTTGTGGGGGGGGCCGGCCCAGCGCCTGCGGGGCCTGTGGTGCAAGGAACCTGCTCTCTCTTCGGGCTGCGCAGACGGGCTCTCCCTCCCAATCCCCGAGAGCAAGAGAAAAGCACCCAGGCCAGAGGGAGCGGGGCTTGAGAACCAGCCCCGGGGCACCCCTAGCCATGCGCCTCCCCTGAAACCGTCTCCGCTTGTGGGCAATCCAGACCGCAAAAACGGGGGAGACCTGCCCGGAGGAGAGCTCCCCGTTCCCTCCCACTTCGCTGGTGCCCCCGGGGCTGTCTAGGCACCTCAGGGACGTGTCTTCAGAGAAGGCGCTCCCACGGCTTGTGGCGCGGCTGGCTGTGCTCGCCCAGGCCCTCCGGTGGGAGGTGGCTCAGAGGGTCCGCCGACAAGTCCTCGGGTGCCAGCTGTCCCGGGAAACACACCCGAGCCTGCTCTGCTGAGAGTGCAGGAGGGGCTGAGACCCAGCAGGGTCTGGGAGACTCGGGGCCGGCGCAGGGATGCGGAGGCAGAAAGGCGCACAACCGCGTGGGACAGCGGCGGGGACAGCGGCGGCCCCGTAATGACCTGCCTCGGGGCAAAGTGCGGAGCGGGCGGTGAGGGCCGCTTCCCCTCTCCCCACCGCCCTGCCTGCACAAGGGCCTCCCAGAAAACAATCCACAAAGGCGCTGCTTGTTTGCGCAGGCGCCTGGGGGAGGCAGCCGTCGGCCTGGAGTTGGGCCACGGAGCCCGCGGCTTCGAGCACAGGCTGCAGCCCCACGCACGAGCTGCAGCGGCCACAGCAGCGGCAGCAGGACCGGGCACGCAGGACGGGCGTGTTTGCCGGGCGAGCGGGCCCTGGATGCCCGCCAGGCTGGGCCGGGCCTGCCCCGCACATTCCTCCCCAGGTTACATGACGCCTGGCATGTTTGCCGAACACCTGAAGTCCTGCCCTTCCCCAGGGTGGACGGAGGCTGACCTGCCGCGCAGGCTCCTCGCAAGACGGCGGGTCCGGTGTGCGAGGGAGGGGCGCGAGGGGCACGGGCTCAGACGGCGGCCATGCCCTTGGCCTCGCCAGAGGCGATGCCCCCACTGGCCCCTGGGTTGAAAGGCGACAAGCATGGCTCCGCCCTCCCCGGTCACTTTCCAACCCTGTCGTCGGGGATGTGGCTGCACCACCCGTGACCTCGGCCCGTGGAATCCCGTGTCAGGACACAGCACACGTATCTGCGCACAGGGCGGGCTCTCGGCAAAACCCCAGAGGGGAAATCGGAGAGGACAAGCGGCCGTCGGGGAGGACAGTGACTCAGGATGATGGGCAGCCCCCGTCCGGCGCCAGGGGCCAACGCTGCACAGAGGGGTCTGGAGCCCTGGGCGGCAGGTGGGCGGAGCCCCAGAAGCCTCGCCTGCAGCCGGGATCCTTTCCCAGGCAGAGCTGTTGCCAAATCCTCGACAAGAAATGAGCGGCTGCATACCTGAACCTTCACACAGAACAGGCCCTGAAGCTCATTCCGCACGGGCCACCTTCCCAGCGACACGCCCTCTGGGGCGCAGGGGTGCGCGGGCAGCCAGCCCAGCGTGGGGCCGGGCGGCGCAGCGTGCGGCCTGCGGGGCACGGGGACCAGAACGGGCTGCACAGGGGTCTGGGCAGCGTCCTCCCTCTCAGAGACTTGGCACAGCAGGCCAGCCCCCGGCAGGGGCCATGCCCCGGACATCAAAGCACATTCCCAGCATTTTTTCCTTCCCGGTGTGTTGGGCCCTGAGGTCATTCTCAGGAGGAACCGCAGCCCTGGGATGTGAGCTGCCCCACCCGGACCCCCGCCCCCGGAACCTGCAGCTCGCCCTCTGGGGCAAACCTATGAGCTCCCCTTGCCCCCTTGCCCCAAGGCCCCCGCCTGCACTTCCACAACGACTGGCACCTGAGCTCCCGGGAGTGGGGTCTGGGGGGGGGACCCGGCTGCCTGCGAGCACAGCCGCGTGATGCTGGGGACAAGGAGCGGAGGGACAGGCAGGCACTCACCATGATGTCCCCTTTCAGGAGCTGGGCCGGCTCGATGGCAATGTAGATCCGACTCTGGTTTTCTGGGCCAATGTTGCTTTGGAATAAACGAGAAGGGTTGTTCCGTGAGCCCAGGATTTACAGGAAGACGACGCGTTGAGAAAAGCGCCCTCACAGCTGGAGACTCAGAAGCGACGCAGAGCGTCCCGAGTGTCCCGGGTCCAGCGCCTGAGGCCCCGTGGACGTGGGTCAGGAGGAGCGAAGAGCCGCCGGGCCGCGCGGCGGGGCTGGGGCACGGCCGCGGGGCGCACACGGCCGCGGCCTCTGTGGCCGCTGGAGGGGACGGCTGTCCCCCCTGGGCGGGCGCATCGCGAGACCAGAAACGTGACGACTGTGTGCTTTAAATGGTGACATGGTGATAAGGCCATTTTTCACTTTTACTCATTTGCCATTGCTGTCGATGAAGTGCTTAGCCTGACACCAAAAAAGCCCAGAAATGCTATGAATTCTAAGAATGTGCTTCCCTCTCTCTGAAACGCAAAGGCGAGAAAGGCCAACCGTAAAGGACCCTGTTACAGGGCTGGGCGTGTTTCATTGCAGACAGCGCACGGCTCCCTCCGCCCTCAGGCCCCTGGACCACGCGCCACGGTGACAGAGTGGCAGGCACTGGATAGCGCGGCGCAGCAGGGAAGCTCGGCGGGGGCGCTGGGCACCGCAGGGCCCCGGGCGCTCTGCTCCCCCTGCCCCTCCCGCGGGAGAGCCAGCCCGGGGCAATGCCTCTGTCTCGCAGCCGCGAGGCCGGCTCACTTACTAGATCCCCGACGTGTACACGGGCTGCATGGCCTGGTAGAGCTTCAGGAAGGGCCGGCACGCTGAGGGAGAGAGGAGGGCGCGTGAGGCAGGAGCCCGCCTGCTGCCGTCCACGCAGAAGCAGCCTCGGGGTTGCATGGCTGGGGCCCCCGCTGCCCTGCCCCTGAGGAGCAAGCAGCCCGGTTCCACACAGACGGCTCTGTCCGGGCAGGGATGGTGCGCAGGGGCGTGTGGGCCGGGCCTCTGCGGGGGCTGGGACGCCCGCCCTGCACAGGGACGGCTCGCCTCGGCATGGCCGTGCGGGATACTCACCTCCGCCCGCGTCGAAGTTGGGGGTGCCGTGCACGATGACGAAGTGCAGGAACAGGGGCGCGGCGTTCATCTTCACCGTCCCCGCCAGCAGCCCGCTCAGGAACTGCACGTACCTGCGGGCGCAGCCGGCTGAGCGCCCGCGCCGACTGCACTCCAGCCTGAGCTGACAGCCCTCAGGGGAGCGTCGGCTCGGGGACGCGTCCCCCGGGGACCGGCGGGCACAGCCCCGCCACGCGCTGCGGTGCCCCTGGGAGAGCTGTGACCCTGGCCGCTGCCCCCATCAAGGCTCAGCCTCAGCCTCACTCATGTTAAAAAAAAATCGGTAATTTGTGCCTGGGACTCACAGGCGGTGGTCCGTTATTTCAGGCCGTGGGACTTGCGCACAAAACAGACTGGAGAGGAGGGCGCTCCGGCAGCCGTGAAAATGAAGCTTAAAAACCCTATTTTCAGTCCACCCTTTCAGGGAAACGTCAGACAAAAACACAGGCTTCCCACAGATCCCAGTCCCAGTGTCTCCGCCACCCTGGAGGCAGAGTTTCACTCTCCAGAACAAACAGGACGGAGCTCCCCAAAGTCACCAGGCGGACGCAGGGCCGGGAGGCCACGTGGCCGGCCACAGCCGGGGCCCGGGCCGCCAGAGGACCCCCCCCATGGTGGGTACACCCAGGGGTGTCTTGGTGACCTGTAAACCGCTTCCCGTCTCGTGCATGACACACGCTGCGAGGCTCTGGGTTCCGGGGCTTTGGGAGAAGGTGTCAAGGACACTGGGGGCCCTGAGTTGTCTCTGCCCTGGTCAGCGGCCCCTCCCCTCTGGCGCTGGGCCGCCCTGGCCGCCTCAGCCTGCCCGGCTTGGTGGGCGCCCACCCGCTTGCCCCAGTGGTCAGCTGTGGCTGCTCCAGCGAGGCGGCCCTTTGCCCTCTGGACACTGCGGGCTCACGGACGCTCGGTTCACATTTTCATGGGAAGGCGGCGGGTCCTGCCGCTGGAACCTGTGCGCTCCTGGCTGAGAGCAGCGTGTGAGGACCAATTTCGGCCGAGGCCCGAGCGCCTCCATATTGCCACCGCCTCTACCCGGGAGGGGCAGAGCTACCCTGCGGTAAGGGGTCTCTCTCCCGACCAGGGACCCCCAGCCTGTCTGAACTGCGTCCCTGGTCCCCACAGGGGGAGAGGCTTGTCACTAAACCAACGAATCCTTCCCTCCTGTTCTGCCTGGACGTTTTCACCGTGAAATGTCATCCACCTTCCACTCGGGCCCAGGGACATACGCACCGTTTCTGGGAAGGCTGCATCAGAGCCGAGACTTTATCGTCATAGTACTTCTTCATCGCGAATCTGTCGAGGGCCTGGTCGGCGCTGCGGGGGGGGGGGGGGGGGGGCAGAGGGAGACAACAGGCGCGTTACACCCCCCGGGCGCCGACGGGGCTGAGTGGACACGTCCCGCGGCCGTGCCGGGCCTTGGCACCCACGAGGAGCTCCGCTGGTGCCAGGCCCGTGGGGTCCACACCAGCCCCTTTTCTTGGACCCCAATTCTGCACAGGCACGTGCCGCAGCCACAGCAGCCGTGTCCAAAGCTATGGTGCTCAGCTGTGCACACGCAGGGCTCCCAAGAGTCCCTGCCAACCTGCCCCCACAGGCAGGCACTGCCGGGCCCCTCTAAGGGGCGGGGGGCAGTTTCAGAGGGCTCTGGGCGCGACCAGGGCAGGCCCAAGTGTCAGGTCACAGGGGACCAGACATGCCCGCAGGCCGCAGCCAGTGGGCCCCCCAAGCCCCAGATCAGCCCAGGGGACCCTCAGGGGATGGCCTGAGGGCCGCCACAGGGAGTCGCGTCTATGAAGGGGTGCAGCGGGGCCAGAACGCGGCACCGGTGGGCGCAGAGCTGCCGGAGGCCTCGGGGCCGCCCGACGATGTTGGTGACGAGATGCCGGAGGGAGCTGTGCCACAGCCCACCGGAATGTTCCGCAGCGTCCTCGGGAAACCCTCCCGGGCCCGGTGGGTCCTCCTGATCTGGCCTCAGCACAGGCCACGACCGTGGGTGTCGGCCGCCGCCACGGAGGCCCCCTCAGCCGAAAGCTCCCTTGAAGATTGGACCCACGTGCAGGCCTCTCCTTTAAGAAACATGTGCTTGCTGCGCTGGAAACACGGCCGAAGTGGGGTCTGAGGGTCCTGTCCAGCCGGAAGGCGATGCGCAGAGACGGGCAGGACACAGGCAAACCCAGCTTCGCCGCCGTGTGTCCGAACCGGGGGCCAGGCTGTGCGGGTGCCAAGGTGCTGAGAGCCCGTTTTCAAGGAGGAAGGTTTAGTCCCGCCCACCACGTTCCCGTCGGGAATTCGCTCGCTCTGGTGAAAACGCTGGCCACGCCTCTGCGCGGCAGGAGTGGAATGTCATCAGCTCCGCCTCCGTCTTTCCCATGGCTTTTCCTTCTCTAGGTGCTGGTCAGAGGATGTTCTTCCTGTTCTGGGACGTGAAGTTCCTGTGTCGATCTCGGAGCAGAGCTCCTGGCAAAGGCCTGAGAAACTCCTCCTGGGGATGACGGAGGGGGTGACAACGGAGGGGACAGACCCCGGCGGTCTGCTGCGAGCCTGGGTCAGCTGGGGTCAGCTGGGGTCGGCAGGGCCGCTGAAATTCCCAAGAAGAGTGGAAGCAGCTTGGACAGGCGACACCGGCAGCGGCCTACACAACAACGTTCTGCGCGGGGCCGGGAGAGAGCTGTGCGGCCGCTGCCGTGTCACCGCAGAGCGCGGACCCCGGAGCGCAGGCCGCGGACCCCGCCGCCCAGGGCCTGGTCCCGCCGCTCCTGCTGGCGCCCCAGCCCCAGCTCCATCCTCGGGCCTCATGGCAGCGGCGCACTGAGCCGTCACGCAGCGCCTGGAGCACAGCCAGCGCGCGCTCGCAGGCTGGTGCCGACCGTCTGGCCGCAGCGGAAGGGCCCCTGCCTCGGCCATCCAGAAAGGCAGCGTTCAGAGCGAGTATGGTGGACGCGTGAGAACGCTCGGTCTCCGTGTTTCCAGAACCTCCATGCCGGCCCCGGCGCGCAGCCGAGGGTCCAGAGAGTCGCGCCGTGTGGCTCACGCAGAACACGGGGCCCTATGCCAAGTCCTCAGGGAGCCTGGGCTCCATCCAAATGCCTCTGGCTTCGCTGGGGACCCGATGGGACCGGGACCAGGCCCTGGCACAGACACAGGGCACTTTATCCCCCAGGAGGGTCTGACTTTCACCAGGGCGTTGGGTTTCCCCCGGCAGGCTCGAGCTCCCCACTTGTTTGCAGAGAAAACATTCGGAAAGCCCAACTCCGCCCTCGGTGCAGGAGAGGAAGGGGCTGTCGGCTCCCATGAACGGGCTTGTGTTTCCTCAGGACGGAGCAGCTCCGGCTGCACAAAGTGGCCATTGAGATGCGCGGGCCCTGGCGGGGCCCAGCCGGAGGACGGTGCTTCCCACGGACGCCCGGACAGGCACGTGCGCTCTGGAGGCCGCACGGGCGCTCTGCATGCCGGCTCGGGGCAGGCCGGCCATGCCTGTGCCGCCGCCCCCTGCAGACAGCCACGCCCACATGCCGCGGCAGCAGCTCAGGGTCCCAGGACGGCTCCTCCGTGTCCTGAGAGGCTGGCCAGACCAGGTGCTTGGCTGCGCCACGAGCGCCTGAGCAAGCCGCCTGGCCTGCCCAGCCCCAGCTTCCGACGGCCCCTGCTCCGCCCAGCGAGTGGGAGCCGTGACAATCGGCTGCCCACGGCTGACTCTCTGCAGGGGGTGGTTTCCATGGAAATGGCGCCGCCCCTGCTCGGGGCAGGCGCCACGGCGGTGTCCCCCGGGCCGCAGCGCACGCACTGCTCTCCCCAGGCCTCCCCAGGCCGTCCGCGCGCAGCGCCCGGCGTGCCCGCCTGGGAGGCATCCACGTTGCGCGGGCACGGCTGCCCCCCAAGCTGGGGTCCCAGGGACGCGGGGCCCGGCCCCCGCCCACCAGCCCCGGAGCAGGAGGCCCCCTACCTGGCTGAGACGGTGGTGAAGTGCATGTAGGAGGAGACGACCACTCCGATGCGGCCCTTCCCGCCCTGCGGAGACAAGAGGGGGCCAGGTTCCCTCGGCTCCCACGGCGGGGGGCGGGGGGCCGGGGCAGGGCCGCGTTCCCGCGGCCCCGAGAGGGCAGGCGGCAGAGGCGGCCGTCGGCCTGCCAGTCCCGGCGAGGCCGGAGAGGACTGCGGGCAGGAGCCCGCGTGCGGCTGGACTGCGCGGGCGGCAGAGACCCGGCCGCCCGCCCGGCTCCGGGAGGGCCTCACCCTGCAGTGGATGACGACGACGTGCTGCGGGTCGCTGTTCAGCCAGGTCTCCTGGGCCTTGCAGATGCTGCACACCTTGTCCAGCGGTGGCGCGTGCAGCTCGGGCCAGCCCACGTCCAGGATCTGCGGGGACACGGGCCGCCTCAGCGTCCGCCTCGGGCCCGGCGGAGGCCGTTTCCCTGACACGTTTTGCGTGAGGGCGAAGACCAGCAGCGTGGGCCGCGGAGGAGACACGGGGATTCAGTTGCCCCCGGTCTCTACCCCCGAGCGGGCGGCCGCCCCCGCAGGGCCCCCGGGGGCCGCTGGGCTGCGGGCGGGCGGCGAGGCTGGGCCGGTGCCGCCCGCCCTCCTGCTGACTCAGGCCCTGTTTGGACACCATAGTGAGCCCTTCCCCGGGGCCAAGGCGCGGAGGACACCGCAGGGACCCCCGGGGACACAGGCGTTCCTCAGAGGGAGGGACGCTCCCGGCCTGGTCACCGGGAAGAAGGACGGTGTCCAGCACCAACGCGAACTCTGAGCGAAGGGCCCTGAGTCACTCCCCCTTTTCCTCTCATTCGGGGAGGGGGGCGGTTGGGGAGGGAGACAGAGCTGTGTCTCATTATAAGAGCACTGGAAATGGGGTAAAACGGTGGGAGATCCTGGAACATGGCCGGGAAGCAGGAGAAGTCACACAGCCCGTGCGGCGCGCAGAGGTGGAGCTCCGTAGCGGCAACGTGCACCCAGGCCCTGGCACAGCCGGGGCCGAGACGCTCATGCCTCAGCCTGCGCCCTGCCCCTGTCCGCCGGCGGGTGGGCAGCTCGGGGGCACGCTCTCCGTCCTGGCGGCTGCAGGGCGGCCTCGCCTGGGAGGCCCATGTGCACTGCAGGCACCGGCTGGACACTCCGCCTGGACCGTCTTCCCCGAGTCCTTCTGTTACAACGGAGGCGTGGGGGGGGGGCGCCCGTGGCACAGCCATGTCAGGAGGGAGACCCGTGTGGGCAGCGCCCGGTATTTGACGGTGGCAGATGAGAGGGCAGACACACACACACACACACACACACACACACACACACACAGCTGCGCGTGCGCCCAGCGGAGGCCAGTCCGTCTGGGCTGTGCCCACATTCGCTTCCCAGCGTGGGCGTCTTGCGCTCAGGGGTGTGAGGTGTTACGACGGGTGGGGGCGGGACCCGAGGCCCAGGAGATCGCGCTGGGTTCTCTTCACAATTTCCTGTGTATCTAGAATTATTTTAAACTAAAAAAAAAATTACCTTGCAAAGGAACCCATGGCACGGACAGTCCCTGATGCCCGCTGTCACGGGAGGAAGGGCGTCAGCTGGTTTTGGCACCTGCGGGACAAGCTTCCCCGCGACACCCCCACATTCAGAGCGTGAAGGGCTGAGGGCCTACCTTGTTGGGGTTCAGCTTCATGAGATCATATCTTTTTTCTGAAAGGTTTAACACCTACGGGGGGGAGACGAGAAGCTATTAGAAAAGTCACTGTCCTTCAGACCAAAGAAAAAACAACAGCATTTTTTACACGCAGGTGCCCTCAAAGCAGGTTATAAAGAATTGAAGTTTGTATCATTGTGATGAAATAGAGAACACCACAAATACAGAAGAACAGCATTCGAGCCCTGAGGGACTCCAGGCCTACAAGGAGCCAGGCGTGGCCCTAGGGACCTCCGAGAGCTGGCTGCGGGCCCCGCCCGGCCTCCGGCACAGAAAACGGACGATGTCACAGTGCAGGGACCGAGGGCAGCGGCCCGTCTGCCTCCAGGGCCCTGGGACAGGCACGTCCCCCCGGGTGGCTGGGCTGGGCTACGCCCTGCAGGTCCTGGAGTTGCTCCGTCCCCAAGGCCAGTTGCCAAAGGACACTGTTCGGAAGTACGTGGGAAAGAGACGGGACCCCAGGTCCTTCCTTCAGAATGTGACGTAGCACGCACATGTCACGTAAGATTTTCAAAGAGGTCCTTGTCCCCCAAAAGGCAGGGACGCCCACCGCAGCCGCCTGGCAGGGCGGGGTGTCCCTGAACCCAGCGAGGCCCCACCCGGAGCACAGGGGCCCCCTGGGCTCCCGCAGCGGAGGTGAGTCGGAGCGGCCCCGCCCCTGCGAGGAAGGGGGGCGCCCCGACGCCGAGGACGGCTGCGACCGCACGCCCCCCTTCGGGAACCGGGCCCGGGCCCCGGGGCCTCGGGCGCCTCCGCGCGTAGGGCTGCTGCCGTGAGCCGGTGCGGCGGCCCCCGGGGCTGCCGGGCTCAGCCATCTGGGGAGGCCGGTAAGGGTGACAACGAGGCCTCGTCGGTAAAGATCAGAGGCTCTGCTGAAGATAAGGGGGCCTCGCAGGCCGGCCAGGGGCGCAGGGTGGGGTTCCACGCGTCAGCTGTCCCACGGGGCCACGGGCAGCGGGGCTGCCCCACCCGGGGGCGCCTGGGGGCCCGGGAAGGGCACCGCGAGGACGCGGCTGCCGCGAGCGTCCCTGCCCCAGCAGCCCCGCCACGAGGGTGCCCGCCCCGTCCTTGGCGGGCACTTGGGGACGGAGACGGCCTTCTCCTGCCGGGGGCGTCCCCAGCTGAGCCGGACCCAGGCCCAGGGGCGCTGGGCACATCCAAGCCTCAGCAAACGCAGGGCCTTCCGGCTGTCCCCACACTCGGCGTCCCCTGCGGTCCCCACGCCCGCGGGCCCCGCTCGGTTTTGCTCACCAGGTAGTTGTCCCCGTGCTTGGACCGCAGCATGCGCGTCACCTCCTGCAGGTTGTGCAGGTAGGACTCCTCGGAGCAGCCCGCGGGGAAGGACACCGCGATGATGCGCTCGGTGACGTAGGTGAGGTCCAGCTCGCGCCCGTCCTCCATGGCGGGGCTCAGCGCTGCCGGCCTGCGGGAGACGGCTGGTCGGCACCGGCCCGGCGGCAGAGGGCGGTGCGGGGGGACGCGCCTCCCGGGCCCCCACGGAGCCCGAGCACAGGTGCTTGGGGACCCACTGCACCCGTATGCGGAGCGTGGGCTCGTCACGGACACTCTGTCCCACATCCTTCCCAGTCGCACTGGGACCACAAGGCCCGGCAGCGAGTAAACGGGAGGCCCACGGCCGAGGGCAGGGCACCTGCTCTGCGGGGCGCGGGGGGCCCTCACTGCCCGGCGAGCCCCCGGCAGCTGAGCACAAGCGCGCCAGGCAGGGCCTGCGGAGCACGGGCCGGGCTGGGAGGTGCCCACGCGCCTGGCCCTGCCGGTGGCGCCCTGGGGTAGAGGGGCAGGGCCCCCGGGCCGGGAAGGAGGCCGGCCGCCCCTGCAGAGCCGGGGCTGGGACGGAACCCAGCCGTGAGGAGGGCGGGCGGGTGTCACCTGAGACAAGGGCACAGGTGCAAGGACGGAGCAGGCGGGACGCCAGCTGGGCCTGCGGGCGGCGTCCAGGGCGGACGGGGAGAGGCCCCAGGGAGAGGTGGTGAGGTCGCCCCCAGACGGTGACAGCCGGCAGGGAACCCGCAAAGGGCGGGGGACATCGGGGATGGCGGTTTAGGTCCCTCACGCCCGCTGCCACCAGCTTGCTGACGTGTTTACCACTCTTGTTATCTGTGTTTCGCTCATCGTTTTGGAAAACTTCAAAAACATACTAAATGATTTAACAGCGCTCCACGTACCTACCTCCTCTGACTCCGGAATTAACCTGCGGCCAATCTCCACCCCCCTCCCCCCACCTCCTGCACTCCAAGGCTTTGAAGAAATCCCAGACATTGTATCACTTCATTTACAAATACTTCAGTATTTACTTCTGGAAGATAAAGGCCTGTTTTAGAAGTCGCTGCACTGCCAACATCTCACCTGAAAGCAGCAGTAACCCAACACCATCCGCTTACTTTTTGAAGTTGATTTATTCAAATCAGGATGCAAACCATGACCAAGCTTCTTTCCCTCTAACCTCACGTACCAGACACGCGTGCAAACCAGTGTGATGGCTTTTACATTTCAAGCCCAGTGTTTCCGGACACGGATACGAGATACACCGACGCCGCGCTGCCTCTGCCGGTCGCGGTCCCCGAGGGGCCGCCCGCGTGCCCCGCCGGAGCCAAGGCTGGGCGCCCCCAAAGCCGCATCTCACACCCTGCACCGCCCTGCTACCGTTCACGGTCACGTCTGCGGGTCCTGGGCCCCCTGCCGGGCCGCACCGCGCACGCAGGGGCGACGTGTGTGCCTCGCCTCTGAACGTTCACCTCGAAAACCCAAGAAGCCACGATGGTGGCGACGGCCCAGGCCGCCTCTGTCGCACGGCCGAGCAACGGGGGGACACTCACCTGGATGGCCTGTCACAGCAGGGAGCGGCGGTCAGCGAGGCACCCCCCGGAGCCTGCAGACGACAAAACACAGGTTACTCTGACGCCTCCCGCCCTGCCGGTCTGCTCGCCACAGCCGCCCCCAGGGCACTCACAGATGGGTGGCCACTCCGCTAGCGGCTGCCCGACTGCGCTGCCTGCGAGGACGCCCGGTCCATCGGGGAACCTCAGCCCGAGGACAGGCGTCCCCCCACGGGAACCAGCCGCGGGCCGGTCCCCAGGGCGTGTGCGTGCTTGTCTGGGCACAGGGGCTGCTCGAGACGTCAGCTGTCGGCTGCTGGCGTGGACTCGAAAGGGCAGATCCCGACGGGGCGGGAATTCCGCGCCTGCCCCCGCGCCGCCGGCCTGCCCAGCAGGGGAAAGCGCTCAGGCCACGCGGCCCTGCCTGGGCGCGCGTGCGTGTGCACATGTGCGAGACACACTTGGGTGGCGCCGCACTCCTTCAGGACGTGATCCCAGCAACCCGGCAGTCGGAGCCACCCCCATGGGGAAACTGAGGCTCGCGGAGGTGCAAGTGCCGCCGAGGACGGCGGGGCAGAGGCGCCCCCCAGCTCCCCGAGAGCCCTTCCCAGCCGGCGGCTCCTTCCTCCCCCGGCTTCCGAGGAGCAGGGCGCCCAGGGCCGGCCGCGGCGGGCAAGCCGCTTCTCAGACAGGACCTGACGCCCGACCTCACCCGCTGCGCCCCCGCAGGCACCCAGCTCGACCTGGCTCCCACACGGGGACAGAGACCGGGCGCCAAGGCTGTTCCAGGGATCAGAAGACAGACCCCTTCCTCCACCTCAACAACGCGTGAGCCCACTGCAGACCAGGGGCCATGACCTCAGCCCTGAACGGAGGCACGGCCTGGGCGGCCCCTCCTCCACCTGCCGGGGCTGGGGTGGTGGCACACAGGCCTTCCCCGGCCGGCACACCCCCTCTGCTCGCCTCGCAGGCTCAGGGGCCTGGCACTGACCGAGGTCGTTCCATCAGTGGCCGGAGCCCTAACCAGCACAGGACACGCCCCCTGGGGGTGGGGAGAGCAGGGCCGGGATGGGCCCTCTGAGGACAGCTCCCTGCGGCCGCAGGCCTCCCGCCCAGGCCCGCGCAGCCGCCCGGGGCTCCACCCTCGCTCGCCAACTGTCCCAAGGCCCTGCCCCCGAACTTGGATGGCTCAGACTGGACCAAGTCCAGACGGTGAGATGGCTTTTGCCGACCGGGTGGCAAGGACCATCCCTGGCTGGCGTGGCTCAGTCCGCGGGGCATCATCGTTCCAGAGCGGAAGGTCACTGGTTCGATTCCCACTCAGGGCACACACCTAGCTTGCAGGTTTGATTCCCGGTCAGGGCAGAAACAAGAGGTGAGGAATCGATGTTTCTCTCTCCCTCTCTCCCTCCCTTCCCCTCTCTCTAAAAATAAGTAAATAAAATCTTTAAAAAACAAAACAGCAAAAACTAAAACATACAAAGATTCTAAGCACTGGCGAAACGTGCACTGATAGAATGTTTCAGAGGTCAGCCTGTCAGTAAGCACAGAAAGCACTTAACAGGCCCGGTGCATGTGACTCAGCCATGCCAGGAATGTGTCCCGAGGGAACGACCAGAATGCGGCACAGCACGGCTTCAGAACACAAAACAGGCGGCGGCCCCGGAGCTCGGCCACACGCCCGATCGCAGGAGGCGAAGGTGTCCCACAGCAGCCTGCGTGGCTGCGCACGTGGGGACAGCGTGTGGGCGCAGAGCAGGCCGCGAGACGGCCGCAGCGCCCCGCTGTTCCGCGAAGGGCGTGGGGCTGACGCGGGCACGCACACGTGCACGTGGGTGGCCGGACACACTGCTGACACGTGGGCAGTGCCTGTTCCTGGGATGCTCTGCTACGCTGTTCCCTTCTGGGGGCACGTTTTTCCTTCCTACTTAGAGCACCCGTGACTTCTGTAGCTGGAGGGAGAACGTGCCAGGATGGCAGGGTCAGCTCAGACGAAGTCCCAGCTTCCAAGGTGGCACCTGGAGATCCCCGCACCCCCACACAGAAGGGTCACTCCCTGTCACCGACCACAGCTGTCCTGGCCGGCAGGCAGTGAGGGAAACTCCAGGGGAACCCTGAGCGTTGGGAACTGAAATGCTCCCGGCCCATGAGTTCCTGTGGGGGGGCTCCGAGTGGGTTCCCAGGGCCTACGCACTGCCCGGCCTCCCAGGGACCAGGCCCCCTTCACGGCTGCACACCCATCACAGGAGACCTTCCCGTCCCCGCGTGGGGACCGGACCCTGCGGGGTCACTCCAGCCAGGACCGTGCCTGGGAACCACCGTCCCCAGCGGCACCACAGGGCTCCCGTCCCTCCGGCTCGCCCAGCGTCTGCCGCAGACGGAGGGCACACAGCTGGCTGCTCGCGGGGCGGCTGGGGGCGGGGCCTCCCTGGCAGGGCCTGTTCTGAGAGAATGACACCTGGCAGTCCTGCGCTGGTCCTGGAGCCCGTGTGACCCCCGGCCAGAGCAGAGGGGGCGTCTGCACCGCCCGGTGAACCACCTGGCAACCTGTCCAGGGGGCTTGTGCTTAAGGTGCGTCTGAAACAATCGACCCTCCCATCCACTGCTGATGGGGTTGGCTTTGTATCTGAGGCCCACACACCAGCAGCTCTGCAGCGTGGACAGACGCCCACGTGGCCACTTTTCAACAGAGGCCCGCGAGCCCTGAGGCTGGCGTGCCAACCCAAACCACCTTTCCCGACAGCGGCAGAGCCAGCGCGGCTCCCAGCGCGTCGGCTACGGGCGGGAGGCAGGCTGCGCAGGAGAAACCGGCTGGCGTTTCCCAGGCGGCCCGGGTCCTCCTCGGACTGCCGGACCCGCCACCCGGTCACCCCGCACCCCCAACACATCCCCTGGGGCGAGGGACCGCGCTGTGCAGACGGCAGGGCCGCTGTTCCGGCGGGGACGCCGCAGGTGGCTCCAGAGCACTGGGTGGGGCCTCCAGTGTCAAAGCGCTGTCCCCGCGCCCGCGCCCTTCCTGCGGGGCCCGGGGAGGCAGGCCAGGGCTCGCGCCTGCGGGAGCAGACGACCCTGGCCAGGCCGTCCCAGAGACACACCAGGCCTCATGTCCCTCAAGCGCAGGCCTTGCTCCGGGCACAGTGAGGCGGACTCTGACCACCCAGCCGTGGGATGGACGATGGGCCGGCCCCCTGGGCAGGGTCGCCGTGGGTCAGAGCAGGGCCTGCAGGGGCAAAGGCCTCACTCTGCCTCCGCAGCCTGCTCTCACATGACCTCTGGGAACCGAGAGTAGGGTGACAGGAAATTGAACGGCAGGGGAAGTGCCCAATGAGGGTCACGCGGTGGGCACTGTCACGTGCTGAGGGACGGGGCGGCCGCTTCATCCTGAGGACTCACAGGTGCGCGCACGCACACGCAGCGTGGGCCGAGCCCGGAGGTGCACCCCGCCGGCAGAAGGGAGCCCGGGGAGCGTGCGCACAGGCAGCACATCCCGCCTGCGCCAGGGCTGAAGCACGGCAGGGCCCCCACGTCCACGGCTCCACGGCGGGGGGCAGGGCCCCGGCCCCCAGCCCCCCTGCCTGCCCCGTCACAGCCCCCGGCCGTCCTGCGGGCCCTGCCCGCCGCGGCCAGCCTCTCCCGGCTGACTCCTACGGACTCCCGCCTGCCTCCCCGCTCAGACAGCATCTTCGGCGAAGGCACCCTGACGCCTCGCCCCGGCCGCTCTGCTCTTTGTTTTTCTCCCCTCACCTGAGAATGTGCTTATTGATTTTTAGAGAGAAAGGACAGGGGAGAGAGAGAGACATCAACTGGCTCCCTCCCATACGCACCCCAGCCAGGAATCGAACCCACAACCTAGGTGCCTGCCCTGACCAAGGGTCAAACCCTGCGACCTTTTGGTGTGAAAGACGACACTCTAACCAACTGAGCCACCCTGCCCGGGCCCGGCTGCCTTGGCCTTCTTCATGCACAGAAAGAACTGGGGGCTGAGGTCTCCTGCCTCAGCTCTGCCTCCCCGGTGGAGACGCCGCCTGCCTGGCTCCCATAAGCAGTTCAGCGCCTGGCGCCACGGCCGCACAGAACCCGCGTATGCAGGACGGAGGGAGGAATCCGCCAGCCGCTGACGCCCCGTGTCGGGGGGCAGCGTGCCCGTTTTGAGAGGCACAAGGAGACCGCTCATACATTTCTGTAGTAAACACCTAGTTAGCTTTACTCTTAGGTTGACAAAAAAATACCTAAGTAGTTTAAACAGACTCGCCCTCTAACCGAAGAACAAAGAGCAAGGTTGCAGCATATGGGGTCCATGGGATTCGGGGTGGGGCTGGGGCTTCGTCAGGGAGAACTGTCCAGGCGACGGAGCGTCGGCGTCCGGCAGCTCTGGGACACCGCCCAGGGCCAGAGCCCCACTGGGCTGCACGCGGATTCAGGTCGTGACCAGGTGGGGCTCAGCTGCTGCGCCTCCCAGGGTCCCAACAGCCCCAGGCCCACGACCAACCGCCCCCAGGCCACCCCTCACTCCTGCTCACCTGGGGAAGGGCCGCGCCGGATCCCTGGGTCAGAGGGACGGGAGGGCGGCCCCTGCTGCCTGCCTGCCCCCGTGCTCTCTGGCTTTCGGGTGAGAGGCAAAGAAAGCCCGTCGGCAGGTGCCATCCCCAGAGCCTGCGCAAGGCCCGGGGGCGCGGGGAAGACGCCAGCTTCCTGGAGCCGCTGGGCTGCGTGCCGCTGCCCGTGTGCCGGCCAGCCCTGCACGCTGTGTGAGCGGCTCTGAAAGGAACAAAGGCGGGATTGCGTAACCGGAGCCGGACGGACGAGGAAGCGCGGCTGCCCGGGGCCTGGGGTGGGCCGGGCTGGGGCTCGGGGACAGATGGGCCGGGACGCCTCTGCGCATTTCTAGCTTCCCCAGGCAGATGCAGGCGGGTGCGGGCGTGGGTGTCACGTGCGCCCGCTGCGGAAGCCCGGCACCCGGGACCGGGGCCGTTGGGATTCTGCCGCCCTCCTTGCTGTCTGACCAGGGAACCCACTTGACTTCCTCGCGACTCGGTTTCCTCACCTGGGAACT